GGCTTATCGTGGCTTCGTTTTTCTTCTGGCGATCGGACGGCAACAAGTCCCAAATGACTTTAGATGGAATGCGCCGATCCATTCTGTTTTCTACACTTCATCCAATGCCCTCATTTGATACCCATGATCTTGCCGCACCACCTTTCAGCCAACCCGTCAAGCAAAGCACTGGAAGCAGATATGTTGAGAGCACCGAAGATCGAAGAGGCCTTTGACCGCCTCATGGCCTTATCAATAGAGTCGAACGGCACGGACCTTAGCTGGTGTCTATTCATTGACGGTCTTGACGAGTATGATGCACATGAGTACGATCAAAGATTGTTTGCAAGAAGGCTTCGTGACTGGACGAAGTCAAGCTCGGTCAAGATATGCGTCACCTCAAGGCCAGAGGTTCAATTTCTTGACACTTTCCCACCTCACTCCAGAATACACCTGCACGAACTTACAGGCGGAGATATTTATCAATCAGCACGCCAGAGCTTTGAGAAAGATGACGTCTTCCCTCGTGTATCTCAGTTCTATTTGGACCTCGTTGAGAGAATTGTCAAATTGTCCGAGGGGGTGTTCCTTTGGGCCAGACTAGTCGTTAAGCTTCTCATCACCGAGGCCGGCTTGCATGGCGACTACACATTTCTCCGTACAAAGCTTTGTTGCACACCGACTCAGCTTGACGATTTTTACAACAGTATCTTTTCTTCGTTGAGTCGAGACGATAGAAGGAAAGTCTATTTTCTTCTCCTACTCATTGCAACAAACCCATTCAGGAACAACCCGAATTCGACAATATTTGATTACATCGGGCCCCAAGGGAATTTGGAGATCAGCCGTAACCTTACTGAGTACAACTACTACAATGTTACCGAAGTTCAAGAGCGACTCTCGAGACAGATACAGAACCTCACTAAAGGCCTATTGATCCTTGTTCCGGCGAAGAGCGGTAGCCTTTTCTTTGAACTAGGTATCAATGGCATTCGCTTCTTCCACAAGACCGTTAAGGACTATATTCTTACGCCAGCCAGAACATCCGAGTTGGAGGCCATATTCTCTGGATTTGACAAAGACAACACCCATGCCATTTTACTCATGACGGAGATAAGTCGCATGCCTATCTGGCATTGCGGTGCTGAGCGACTTGCGGCTCATCTCTTAGACGCACTGTCCACAGAATCCCCTCTGAGCTCTGGCACAATGCGTATAATCGAGCTGGTATGGAGAGAAAGAATGGCGTCCCTCTGGGGCGGATTTGAGATCGGTTGCAGACGTCTTGAGCTGATTGCATTGAAAGGGTTCTCCGGTTTTGAGAACTCGTTTCCTGCTATTGCTGTGTTCTATGGACAAAGCCAGTATTTGCAACACTACCTTGACCAAGCATGCGCAACTGCGGAGCCCCACACAAACTCTTCAACAGTTTGCCACTCCCGAGACTCACCTCACATGCCTAGCACTATACGACAAGATTCTTACCTGTTGCTGAGCGCAATCTTTTCATTGAGCAACGAAAATTTCAACAGAAATCATTCTCTCAAGTCGATTGAGATGCTAATATCAAGAGGGCACTCAATGAAGGACTTTGTCTCGATCTGTGGCGGCTGCAACGCTGCAAACACCGCCAATACCCGTTTGCTATCTTTATGGGTGATTTTTGTGTATCAGCTGGCTTTGTCCATGCTAGCAGGCACAGATAGGGACAAAGTTCTGCACCTGAATGCCCTCGAGAAGATTATTTCAGCTGAGACGCATGAGACACCGTTCATCCTACTGCAAGAACGCGAGCCAACATGGAGACCTGACAATTCTCATCGCGATACAGATTGGAAGTCATTGCCACGTGTCTATGTTTCAACCATATCCGACCTTACAGCTCTTATTCCAGACTTCCAGACGGAATATTCGGATTGTAAACTAGCCGTTCTCTCGCCTTCACATTGCAAACCCGAGCCCAGGACGGTTCCCGCGTGGCTGAAAGACCGGATTGAGTTTGGAGATACTCACGAAATCAAACTCCTACCTGAGGGCATTCTGTTAAAGCGGTGTTTGAGTTGTAATTCATTTCGAGGACAGAAGTCGCATGATGACGGGAGCCTTTGCTTGCAGCTTCTTGCCGTTCTGACGAAAGAGGAGGCAATCTTTAACCCACCCAATGACGATCCAGCTATTTATGTACCACTTTGGTAGCTTTCGGGATAGCAATTTGATCGGTTTGCCGGCAGTGAAACAGAGCGCATGACCAAATCAAAGTTGCCTAACCCTCAGCTGTCATACGTCAGCATTATTTGGCGATCTGCGGTGCAAAGCCTGCTTGAAAATTCCTGCTTACTGATGATGCGAAAACCTTAAACGGACATCGAAACACTGTAAATTGTATCTTCAATTCTATCTTGGTGTTCCACATCCTGCGTCTTAGTCGTAATTCAAACCATTGGCATGATGAAACGCCGTCATCTTCTGCCGCACCTGTGTCATCGGGCAATTGAAAACTACCTGAGCAGTGAGAATGAAAGCATGTTCTTGCTCTTCGGGAATATTTCGATGCTCATCCTCATTCGGTTTGTCGTTTCCACACGATTCGTTACCTTTGCTCCCCGAACACAGAACTGTAAAGTCTCCAATTTCAGCGCAAATATCCCCGAAATGGTCTCTCCTTCTCCAAATAGCCTGGTTCTGGGCGTTGTGCTTTTGCGCAGTCGATGAAATGCAGTTGGCATGGTGCTCTAAGACTTGTTGTAGTCCAGGTTTAGATACGTCCCTCAATTCGGCTTCCTTGAGAACCCTGCACGTAAACCTTTTTGTTCGATGTGGATAATATCCGGCTTCTGTCAAAAAAAGAAACCCACCACGACTGAACGGGCTGCGAGTCTCATATACCAAAACTGCATAATGTAACGACTCCACCCTGGTCATGGAAATCGTCCCTGGCGCTGATGGATCCATTCCGGGAAAGGCCGCTAGAAACGAGAACCCCCCAAATCCCAATGGGAAGGTCACTAGTACCCTTTTGACAGATTCCGTGTCACCACCTTTTGGGTCTGTGTCGGACGAACCTGATACGTCCTGCGTGATAGTTCCAGAAACGTTGTCAAGACGAATTTCTGTCGGTGATGCGCTGAACATGATCCCAGAACTTCTCTCATTTGCATACACGATTGGCAAATTTGCACGTCTATATCTCGAACCGCCTGCAGAGATAACTGGCACGAAAACTCCGGCCTCATTTGTCGCTTCAACCCAGAAAGGGCTCTCATACTGGCCCATGGCTATCAAACCCACCCGATCGTCGAGGGTAGGTACCAATGGTCGATGTATAATGAAGCTTCTGTCCAAACAGAATGACGCCGCTGTTGTTGTGACTTTTCTACCCCTCGACATGTCGAACCAGAGATCATATTTAGACTCAAAGTCTACTTTTCTGAAATCCGATGGTTTCGTAGCCAAGTATGACGTCGAAGCCAAACCGTGGGGTGTTGACCATGCATTAGTCTGTGACCATATCAAGAGAGTTGGATCCCGTGTGACATTCATAACCAAAGATTGGAGTCGTTCAAAGGCATGAGCGCCTTCACCGTATCGAATAGGCATCTGTACCCCAAAGATACCTAAGAGGCAGTATGCCTCGTCCTCCGGATAGCGTGTAAGTCGTCCAGACGCCCATCACATTTTTTCGGCAGCGGTATATCCCGCTAGCAAATCGGCGCGCTTTTTGACCACTAAACCTTGCCGTCAAAAGCAAAAGCTGTGTGGTACATGGGCGATGGACTCAAGACCACGACTGGTATCATCTCTGGCGAATAGAAACGTCCATTCTCTTGAAAAGAATGAAAGTCTCACGGGCGCTATGAATTCCTGCAGCGTCCATCCACGTTGGAACCATGACGACCGCTTGATGGCTGAAAGTACTGAGCCGCGTTGGGCCCTAAATTGCTCAGAGATGAGATTGTCAATATCGATCACTGGTCCGCAATATTCGACGTTATCCAAATATGCGAAGCAGACTTCTGATTGTTCGTACCATGCAAACATGCAGTTGATTGCCGTGTTGAGTTCTTCGTAGCTCGTCTTATCAATGCACACTGTGTCGGCCCACGCCCATGTGTGGCCATGCTCTTGAGCTTTGCGACAGAAGTTGATGATCTTGGCATAGCCTCTCTTTGACCGCAGTTGCTCGCTGTGCTGTTTCGTGTCGTTGAAGTCTTGAAAGCGGCATTCGTCGTCTTGGTGGCCCCAAACGTGGGACAAGATTGCATAAGGCGGAATTGAGTCCTCTGGGAATCTTTGGAGCTGGAGAGTCTCGATATTAATGAGCCGCATGCCGTGAGGCCGCACTCGATAGACTTCAGACTCGGGCGAGTCCATTCTCTCACATGGCTTGGGTTTTATATGGACAAAGTCGACAAGGAGGGCAGGCGTAGCGAGATATGATCGAAGCAGTAAGAATAAAAATCACCAGGGCGATTGCGGGTGCCGAGTAGTTAAAGCGTGGTATGGCAGGCGATAAATGTTCCTGAGGGGCTTTGCTAGGCCTGAGAAGATCTCCAGAGACCGGTGAAGAGTGCTGAAAGGCGGACCGGTCACTGCAATGCCGTCCTATGTGTGTGGAACTAGGTTTTTAAGAGATGGGTGCTAATATCTTCAGATTGCTTGATTGAGCGGTGGGAGGAAGGTCTTCGGTAGCGTGGGCGGTCATTGTGAAGTTGAGCTGACTTGACCCCTCATTTCGCGATTTCGCGCAACAGATGTGGGGGTGATCAGGCTGCATCAAGATGACCAGCGCCATTAGCCAGTAATATGAAGTAAAGAATATTGTGAAGACTTCTGATTGGATGTCAAATAATGAACCGTCAAACATGACGGAAGCTCCCCTTTCGGCACGTTGAAAGGACCTCCTGCTAATAATGCCGCGATCAATTTGACTGCGGAGCAGCCTCATCGTGTCTGACTTAAGACTATGATATTACTACTGGCTGACTGATCTTAATGGGCGCAACCACAATTGCGATCGTGTTCTACTGCTCCGGCGCCGGGGTGGCATCTAGGGGCTTACGTCCCCAAACACACCTCTGGCGGTAGTACCCATGCAGCTTGCCGGACCGAATCTCGCGGCGGAGCTGAGCGGCGTAGATTTGAATCTCTTCCCTGCTCCAAGTCGACATGACATTGGCCATGAAAAGCACATAGCCCTCGATATCCGAAAGAAGAGTCAATTGCGCCCATTCACCAATTTCTCTCTTCACCGGGTCCTTCGGCCAGTTGCCAATGGGCGCCTTCGTTGGTCCGTTGTCAGTATCGTCGCTTACACTCAGGAGCTGTATATCTTACCTTGTTGTTCCACTCCGTAATGTTCTCGAAACCAGCTCCCTCCATGGAGGTCTTTTGGAGGTTCTCATCAAGAACGCGGAAGGTCCGGCCCATCTTCCGGCCGCCCTCCTCGAAGAACTTGCCCCACTGACCCAGCGCACTAGTCTCCGGGACGGTGTCATCGTCACTCATGATGGCGGGAGAGACTTCGAAACTCTCGAGGTAACCACCTGGCTTGAGAGCCACGTAGGCCTGCTTGAACAGCTCCGGCCAATCCGCGATACTTCCGACGAGGAAACGGACGTGGATGTAGTCGAAGGTACCAGGAGCAAAAGTCCACTCGCGAGTGCAATCCTCGATCTCACTACTTCAGTTTTAGTGGGTATGCAATGAGACAAAAGGCTCTCGTACTTACAACTTGCAGTTAGGAGGAACCCATGTTGGCTGAATGGGCGAGATGTCGGTTCCGATAACCTCGCATTCCGGGTTCTCATCGGCGAAGTCACTGAGCAATGTTAGAGATTAACTGGCATCGCAGAATATCGGTTCCTTACATAGCCCAGATACCTGCGTTCAAACAATTAATGAGCTTTAGTCTCATGTAAGTCGAACCCTTGCATGCTCACCAGTTCCAGTTCCAACATCGAGGGCTTTGGTCAGCTTGTTCTTGTCTATCGGTGCCAAGTGAAGCTTATCGCCGCAAGAAAGTGTCAAAAGATGATGACTGCCGCATGTCAGTCCCTGTCAGGTTCAGTATCACCACTTCATCTCACTTGATGTCCCAGCACTCATTCTGCTGCTCATCGTTGCTCCCCCTACAGCTAGTGTTAGTGACATGATAACCCGCTCGACCGGACTCGGAGCATCTGACCAGTACTGGGCATTTCCGACCTCGCCATGAAATGTGCGTCCGTGAATCTTTCGGTACTCGAGAATGGTAGAGGTGATCGACGCAGTAGAGCTGGCGTTGTCGTCGCCTAGCGCCGAGTCGTTGTCGCCGTCATTAGCAGCCTCCTAGCACGCCGTCAATCATCTCCGGTACCAAGTTTGGGAACGCGGTCAGACCGCCGTGTCGACTGACTCGTGCCGCCTGCACCCAATGCTCAGCGGGCAAGATACCAGCGGCGGCCGCCGCGTCCTGCTGCTGCTGAGCGGCCGCGGTCGCTTGATCCTCGTCCTGTTCGGGGCACATTTTCGATGATGCTCCGTCGTCGTTTCGTCGCGATGCTATGCTTCGTCGTCTGCCGTTCCCTACCAGGCGGAGAAAAGGAGAAAATAAGGCTTCGACGGAAGGAAAGAGTGTGGAACGTGTTCCCACGGGTCACGAGAATGATCCCCGGTCCCTGTCCATCCTATATCAGGGAACCTCCATAGGACATCCCCACAGCGGATAACGCGCGGTCGTGCGCATCCTCGCCTTCTGAACGAGCCCCTCGGTCGCCTGGCTCACCGCATCCACCATCCCGGACTGGGGATCCAGCCAGCCGCCTTTCGGCGGTGGATGGTGGCCTATCTGCCGGTGGTATCAGCTTGGGGTTTTGCAGGTTTTCGACGTGTCATGGAACGCCAAGTCCGCTGACCAAAAGATTTGAATACTACCATGTTCGGCGCTCATCACCAATCCAGGGGCACAGGGGACGGAGATCGACGAGAGTTTGGCCATTCAAGTGGACATCACGGCATTCTTCAGCGGGACTCTGGCCACGCACAAACAGGCATGTTGAGGGGCATGCGAATGTTCTCCACGGCATGCAGCTTTGGCAATGAGGATACCGCCAACCAGACGTGTTCTTTTGGGATTCTCTGATGGATTGATGGGATTCTGGACTCCATTATGCCCGCCCACGAAAAACACATGGAAGGAATACACGTGGGAATTTTCCCGCCTTTTCTCAGTACGTTGCATTCAGGCGCATCTCGATGTACTCCCGGCTGTTGATCGGGTCATACTTCTTGGGTCGCTCGGGCCCGAAACAGCCAGGAACACAATCAACAGTCTTTTCTGAGTCGGCGCCGATGAAGTACGGGATGGAATAACGCGCCCGTGTGACTCGACTGCCGCTCATATCCGTTTCCAGCGGCGGCGCCCGGACTCGATGCATCGTCGACCTGAGCGTGTCGTTGCTCCACCGCTGCATGAAGTCGCCAATGTTGACGACGATCGTCCCAGGTATATACGGCACTGGGACGAAATGTCCCGCTTCGTTAGGATCTTCTACCTCCAGCCCTCCAACCTCGTCCTGGAAGAGCAATGTCATGGACCCAAAATCAGTGTGCGCACCCAACCGCTCAACCTTTCCCGCGCGAAGCAACTTTTCCTCGGCCGGTGGGTAATGGAGGAGCCGAATCTGGTTGTCCTTGTTCACGTGGTACCCCTGGAAGAAGGCCTCGTCTAATCCCATTCCCAGCGCCATTCCCCGGAGCAGGTGGAGTTCGAGCTGGTAGCAGTCCTCGTAGAAGCTGTTGAAGAACGCCCGAAAGCCAGGTAGCGACTCGTCGGGAATCCAAATGTTGGGGAGATGATCATCATCCTCACGACCAATCTCGTATGATTCCTTAAAGTCGGGGATCTTGCGACGCTCGCTGATTTCGTCGGCGTCAAACACCATTTGCGTGACCTTTTCTCGGCCTATGCCCGAGTACCCCCGGTGCCACCATCCCTCTGGGGGATGCGGTGCTTTTTCCTTCTCTGCCTGGGGCAGCGAGAAGAACTTGGCGCTCTGGATGGAATTGTGAGTTGTGATATCATGCACAGACATGAGTCGGGAGAGACAAACCCATTGGAACGCGGCGTCCACAGTCTCCTGCGGCAGCCCATGATTTCTGACATATGCGAAGCCGAAAGTCTTGAATGCGTCGACTAGCGCTTTGCCCGCCTGCTGCGCTGTTTGCGGTTGCGCGCTTCTGAGACCGTCCAGATCGACGAGGGGAATGCTCGGGTGCTCCGCTTTCGAATCGCACGCGGCGCCGTTGGATTGATGCGACCCGCTCATGTTTTCGACATTCGCGATATTACAACGTCGGATTTCAGTAAGAGTGTGTCAAGTATGGGATGAAAGAGAGTTGCATTTGCTGAGGTTTGGATTAGGTTCCTTTAAACCCTCCAGATCCCCCGCCTTTTCGCCTCCTGCAGGATGACGGGATGACGTCGATCGCCGCGAGGTTATTCACATGCAAATCATCATGCGATACAGCAACCACAAACTAAGAATAAAGCGGTAGATCTGCGAAGGATGAACTTTCTTGATGCGTCGGTCGTCTTCTATTCAACGATTGATAAGGAATTATCTTGTCAACATACTGACTCTAAACTCGTTTTAGGATCATTCAAAATTCAGACAACGTCACAGGAATTGACACGTCAAGGCTCCCTTGTCGTAAGGACAACCAGGTCCAGGGCGCATGCGCAGAACCACCGACTCAAGATCCGATAACCTGGGAAGGGGATTTTTTCTGCGGTAGAACGAATCGTATGGAATGATTTGGGATCAACCCCTGTCAACTCGCTGTTTTGAGTGATCCATCTTTCGGAGTCGGGCGCCATGTCCGATACCAACGGATCTTGTCAGATTCAAGTGCTTATTTCGGAACCAACAGCCTTTACCCAATCTTACCAGCGTCTTTGAATAAGGAGATACCATCAGTCTCACCTCAGCAGTGCACATATTCAACGTGCCGTAATATCCGAATCGAATTGGGCAAGCGGCAATCCCATATCCCTCGTCATATTTCTTTGACATTCCCGTTCAAGCCGTTCGCTGTTCGACGCTACAGCGGTTGAGATGGATTATTCCATAAAAGAAGTACATCTTATTCCGCGCCGCAGGTTCGATTGTGAGTAAAAGCCTCACACAGACTCTTGTAATTAGCGAATGAGCTACACGTTTCAAAGGTAGGAGCTCCTAGAGCCTTTTCAACCAACGCCAGAACTCCGAGGCCATTGGACAGGTGCCCTTTAATTGCCGGTTGGAGCGAATTTCAACTGTTCACTACTAAGATAAGACAGGAAGTAGGCATATTTCCAGGGCTCGTCGGGACATGGTAAAGCATGCATTCCTTTTAATCTGCTAACCCCGTTCCCAGACGCGGATGGAAGGTGTTCAAGACAATCGGTTTTCACAACTCCATGGTATCAGAAAACAATAAAGGCCTTTATATTTGATGTCTAGTCATCCTCCTTTGCCCCAACTCTTTTAGATTTGCCCAGCGTCGGTGGAACGGGTGGCTATGAGCTATTGGGTGTCTGAAAACGATGATGATACTGCGAAGTACTGCTGCGGACATTGATTCGAATTATTTCTCATCTGACCTTCAAGGATTTCCGCCGTAGTCGATTCTCACAGAGCATATACGTACGTTTGCTTCAGTCTCAAGGCCATGGCAAGTCGTGTTATCATCGTTGGGACGGCTCTAGGACGGCAATATCAAACTCTGGTAAGCGGGCTGTGAGGAAATAGCCACAGATACACAGTGTCCATTCAACTTAGTTTTCGAGCCGGGAGAAAGTTTGGCAACGTAACCTTTTGCCGAAGGCTTCTTTAGAGTTGCACGTGGAACCCAAACCATTGGGCTGTGGCTTGTTCTGATGCCTTAAAGGACGAACACAAGCGATATTACCGGCTTCGCCTACTTGCGACGCTACATGTACCGTTCACCCAATGACAGTCGGCGAATGCGCGTCGTGTACCTCGACCGTCAAAACAATTTACTGCCTTGCTCCTAATATACACATCTTAAAATCCAATAGTCAGCACTCAAATTACACCATCGCGCAGAGTCGTAGTAAAATAAAAAGCCTCCTATGCGGGAGCCATACATAGCCCTAAACTTTCTATACGCCACATACCCTAAAATGGGGGGAGTGTCGTATCAGAATACATTCTCGTAGCCTTCTGTGGCTTTTTTCAATGTTATCCAGGCCGATTTTCAATTCTTAATATTGAAAATCGGGATGCCTACCACGGCCCTGGCGACATACTTAAGACGCGGCTGCTTGTGCCAAGTCGTGCGCCCATGCCTCATCAAGCAAAACTCCGGATTCCTACAACTTCAAGATGCGTTCCATACTGCCCGCTGCGTGGTGCCTTGTGCTGCAGGGCGCTTCATCTACGGATTTATATTCTCAACTCAGTAACACCGACTTGGTGATCGAGGATGGAGAAGACTTGCATTTGAGCTATGAGATCGGCGTCGAAGGATTCAAGGAGTCGATGCACGAGGACATGGCTATCGCTGCTTTCATCGGATCCAAGCACCCTTTCCCCCAGGGAACTGAGTATAAAAGTCTCAACGCGGACCAATGGGAATACATGCGAGGGCTCATCTGGAGCGACGACCCAACTTGCCTTTTGTTCGTTGACTCGAAGGAAAAGAACAACCAGATGAGCGCCGCCACGGACTTTCTTGGGGAGTTCTTGACCGGCGAGGAATCTGGACTCACGAAGCGGAGTCACTTTGGTGACCTTCAGTTCCTTCACGCCATGAGTTCGCAGGCCAATGAAGACCCTAATGTCACCAAGAAGAACATGATTGACTGGCTGGAGATCATGTACAAACTTGCCATAGGCCAGAATGTGACGGCAACCGACACGCTTGGCACGAGGTTTCCCGATCGATTTAATGCCAGCTCGATTCCCTCGGATGACGTGAGCATCAAGCAACTGTTTCTGGGCACAACTCCGTCCTATCAACATGCCGATATTCCCAAGCGAGCCCTCGGAAATTGCCTTCACATGATCCAGGACTCATATGCAATTGGACACACGCTGAGAAGGCTCAAGAACCCAGAGGATCTCGACGCAAATGACGAAGAAGGTATGCTTGTCAGCATCGATGCAGTGGCTCTCAGGATTCTTTTAGCTGGGGCTACTTCCATCAGACCAATGACCGACAACTCAACATAGGGTATCGCCGATTCAAGCCCGGAAAGTACGCAAAGCTCGGGCCGGTAATCACATTCCACACATATGCAAACCAGTCGGACCGTCATTCTCACTACGACGGATCGAAGCTGAAAAGGGTGCCGAAGGACCTCGACACTTTCAACAACGTCATTGGTGCCCGTGACGGGATCGATAAGTCCAGGAAGCTCATCAACTTCTTCGCCCAGAAGACTAAGTGGGAAGATGGCGTTCGCGACTTTTTACACCAGGAGGTTTTCGCGCTTGACTCGAACGTGACTCTCAGCAACTCGCAGGTCGACGAGCGCTTTGGTTTGCCGGACACGAGCGGCTAGTCTGTATCCGATGCTGCACAGATTGCAAACGCCAATCCTCGTCTTTGGGAAGTTCGTCGTCGGAATACTTGGCTTAGCCTTGGGGTTCTTGCTTCCGGGACTTTTTCTGGACGTCTTCAAGATTTAGCGAGACGGAGAGTCCGTGTTGTTCTTGTCCTTCATAGTTGGGCGTGCGATACATTTGATTCTCTCCAACGAGCGAGTGCAACTACATATTTACAAGGTGTGCCCGCAGGGGATAACCTGCTGTACGAAAGTATAAAGCTAGAAGGGAGAAAATATGTGAAAGCCCGACGCATGTAATTTCAACCCAGTGCTTGAGACGATACACGAAGCTTTAGGTGAGCTTGATCTCGTAAGCAAATGCCGTTGCAGCAGTTGGCGGGTCGTGTGGAATGGTAAGCTGTTAGAAGCATGTTAGTATCGAAAAGCTCCTATCTGCTCGTAAGAGTCAAAACTAACCTCGCCAGCGGAGTAGCTGTACGTGAATGAGCCGAGGTCAAGGGCATCATAGACAAGTCCTTGAGCACCGCCCCAGTCGAACTGATACCTGTGAACTTCCAACGTCCCCTGTGCAGGGAGTCCAAGTTCGGCCAAGCCCTTGAGGACAATATCATAGCGGTTTTGAACGGTCCTGGTGCCCGCAAGGATCTTCAAGTACCCATTCGACAAGACGGCGAAAGCATCAAACTTCAGGTCTGAAGATGCGGCTGTCAACACCTGCTCTCCAACCATGTTTGCATAGTACTTGTAAAGCTGCCATTCTCCGTTGGGATAATAACCCTGATCGTTCTTGGCAACAAGATTGCCCAGGTAGTTGTGCAGATTCTCGCCGCCCTCCCAGTTGGCGCGCAGCCCGCGGATGTTGTGGCGCTCCAATTGTGCAAGGTAGTAAGCCGAGTTAGCAGGGTTTTGTTCATCCGGCCAGGCGTACTCGTTGACGTCGATTGGCCTCTCCGGGAGCCCATACTCGGCTAGAAGAGCGCGAAGGGCAGGCACAGTAGTATCGGGTTCTCGCTCCCATGCCCCGATTTGATGCCATGAGTAGATGTCTGGGGCCACATTGCCCTGGGCGACAGCTTGCATCCACGTTCTCCAGTTGGCGCTGTCTTGGCTTGGTGAATGGGCTGATGATGGCCCGCTGATTCTTGCCTCGGGCATCTCATTCCTGTTAAAACACGTCAGTTGCCTAAGAACGCCTAGCATTTAAGGTAGAACAGACCTCAGTAGTTGAGAAGCTCGAACGTAATACTCCACGTATTGAGACCAGGGACGGTTCCAGAAGCCTTCGAGATCAGGTTCGTTCCAGAGATCAAACACTAGACCGTCGAGCATGTTGTTAGCTCTCACATCAGAGATGAGGCGGCGGATGAAGGCTTCCATCCCAGACCAATCCCCGTTATCGCCCGGGAAGGGAAAGTCAGCAGACGAGCCGCCCTGAGAGCCCCAGATGTCGTGGGGGAGAAGGATGAAGTCCGCATTGTACTTGCGAGTGGTACGATAGTTAGAAAGGGTTGAATCGAAACGGCCACGGTAGCCCTCTTCACCTCCGATTGCCCAGCCGGAAGCAGCAATCTGCGCACCGCCAGCGCGGCACGTCCTGAATTTGATATTGGTGAGGAAGTGGTCGGGAATCGAGTTGTCGGCATCCTGTCCATTGTCCGGGAAGCCATATATGAAGCCGGACCCAAGGAAGGCGGCTTGTCCTGTAGTTTGAGAGACATCGACCGTGGCTGCTCCCGCGCTCTGTCTCGAGGATATGGCTGCCGCAGCTGAGCAAGCTGCCAAAGCTGCGAGATTGGTAAGAATGGGAAGAGCTCTCATTGTGGCAACTCTGAGGGGGGGACTTCTTGAAGGGTAGCTGGTGCGAATGTGGGATTTCAAGAACATTGTGTACTGGCAAATGTCCTATTTAAGTACAAACACAACTGGTATCTTGTACAAAATGTCAAGTCTTCGCCAGGCCATATCACAGCGTGGCATCCCACCGGCTTCGGTAGTGCCATACGATGCCTGAATTCCGGCTAAAGCAATTTAGTGATCTGAGTGTTTTTCTTTCAGCAAAAGGCATCAATTTGCAACTGCTTGGTACTCCGTTTCCCTCTCCACCGGGCTTGGCTCTCTCCCAGCATCAGGTACGCATCGGAGGTTTCCCCGATCCAGGGCTCAACGCCGCCCCACCGGAACAAGAACACAGTGGCACCTGAGCTCACGCACGCAATTATGCTTGCCTTTTGCTGCCCGAGCGGAAACGATAAAGACACTCAATTTTAAGACAGAGATGTGACGATATTAGTGATAACGACGACGACAGCATCGACGAGTAAAGTAACGTAGGTAGAGTATATTACTCCAGCGTCAGCAAATGGTAGAGAAATAGGAGGTCCCCAAAGTTAACGTCCAATATCGTCTAAAAGGATTTCCTTTCAGGCGATTGAGCGAGATATGTGGACGTACAAATGGAAACAACAGCGCAGCCCATGCTAGGTCTGGCATGACCTCACTTAGACATCAGAAAAATGGTAGATGAGCCATCTTCCTGGTCAATTCACGTGTAGATATTGCGCAAGACAAAGCGAACATTGTCAGATGATGTGAATAATGAAGTAAGAATCAATTGAGAGAGTAAGATAGGTTAAGTCTAAGGGGGTAATGTTGAAACGAAGAAAAACACGAAGAGTGATATCCAGTCGCAGTACAAACAGGAAAAGCAGTCTGATATCGTAGCCTCCTTCCATGTACACGGAAAAAACTTGAGTTGCCCATCCCACCCATTCTCCGTATTTCGTACACATGAACAAAAGGAATTAAGTGGTATTGCCGTCAGCACCATGTCGGGTCAGTTTACACATTAAGAGAAAAGGGTGGTGCAATCGTGCTTGAGCGAAACGTGCTGCTTAAGCCTTGTTCTTGCCATCCCAGAGGATGATGCCAACAGACTCCTCCCAGCCGCGACCGGCAGCGATCTCCATGACCGTGCGGCCGGCCTCATCCCTGGCCTCGAGGTCGACACCGCAAGCCTCCACAAGGATCTTGAGGATCTTGGCGTCGCCGTTCTCGACGGCCTGCATGATGGCGTTCCAACCGCGGTACATCTTGTTCGCGTCGGCGCCGTTGCGGAGGAGCATCTCGAGGATGTCGGTGTCGTCGCCGCGGCAGCGGCGGACGGCCTTGACAATGGGCAGGTGCTCACCGGGCGCGTTGATATCGGCGCCGGCCTCGTGGATCAGGAAGCTGGTCATCTCCTTGTTGTCCTCGCGGATGGCGCTGGTCAGCGGGGAGAAGACACCGCCGTTCTTGTCCTCGACGGAGACGCCGGCCTTGAGTAGCAGCTTGACGCTGTCGAGCTGGTTGGCGACGACGGCGCGCTCCATGAGGCCCTTGAAGGAGCGAGGGTCGGGGACCGCCGGGAGCAGCTTCTTGAGGACGTCCGGGCGCTGGACGGACATGACGATGGGCCAGTCGCAGCCGCGCACGTTGGGGTCGGCGCCGTGGGCGAGGAGCTCGTCGAGCATCTCCATGCGGTTCTCGCGGATGGCGGTGGTGATGGGCGTGTTGCCGTCGTCGCCCTTGTCGTTGGGGCTGACGCCCTGGTCGAGGAGCCACATGAGAGCCTCCATGTTGTTGACGCGGACGGCCATCTCGATGATGCCCTTGGGGTTGTGGAGGTCGTTGCCGGCGGCGACGAGGCGGGGTAGGAAGTGGGTGCGGAAGTGAGTGACGCACTTGAAGGCGGGGTACTCGGCGGAGTTGAGGTTGGGATCCGCGCCGCTCTCGAGGAGGAGCTCGAAGATGTCGGCGCGGTTGTCACGGATGGACGTGCACAGCGGCGTGTAGATGCCATCCTTCTTGAGGTTGGGGGAGACGCCGGCGGCGAGGAGGACGCGAACGGACTCGATGTTGTTGATACTGACAGCGAGTTCCATGTTGCCTGGCGTCTTCTTGTTGTCGGCGCCGCGGGCAAGGAGAACCTTGAGGCATGGTGCCTGGTAGGTCGCTGGCCAAAGCATGTGCTTGGGGCCGGGCAAGTTGGGGTTAGCACCATGGTCCAGGAGTGCAGTGAGGAGATCGACTCTGGCGGACTGGATAGCCTCGAACAGGGCAGTCTTGCCTTCCCTGTTCTTGACGTTGGGATCCGAGCCGTAGTCAAGCATGAGGTCGACCAGCTTCTTTGGCGTGCTCTTATTCATCGAGCAGATGAGGACGGTGTTGCCGTTGGCCATGATGTGGTTCGGGTCACCACCGTATGTGAGGAGGAGGTGAACGAAGTCAATCTTGCCGTCAATGACGGAGATGGCCAAGGGAGACTCTTGCGATGAGCCAGCAGAGAGGTTGGGATCAGCACCGTACTTGAGAAGCATCTTGGCCATCTCAACAGAGTTCATCTCAACTGCGGCAAAGAGAGGTGTGATGCCATCCTTGTCAGGAGAGTTGGGGTCAGCGCCGAAGAGCAGCAGGAGACGCACGCTCTCGTGGTCCTGGCAAAGAACTGAGTCGACGAGAACATGGTTCTCGGCGCCCGTGTCTGGTGATACGCCGCGGTCGAGAAGTTGCTCGACGAGCTTGTGGTTCTTGCCCTGGACGGCGGAAATGAGAGAGGTCTTGAGGGCCGGGTTGCCGTTGGCGTTGTGGCGCGGTGTCCAGCGCGGCATCGTCATGGGGTCTGCCTTGAGGCGAACAACCTTGGCCGGGATGCTGTCGGCGATGTTTTGCAACTCGCCGATGAGAGTCTCAGTGCCCGATGAGGACGGGGAGAGTGTGTTATCGGAGTCGCGGAGAGGTCTCCTGTCTGAGATACGGCTGGGGGCATCGTAGGTATCGGAGATGGTGAGATCATCCCGGTTTGACCTCCTGTCCAAGTTGATTCTTGTGGAATGCACACCAGATCCGTGCAGTGAAGGCGGTGATTGGAGGTTGTGTAGTGAGACTGGGGATTGAAGGTCGTAGTGACCGTGCTCTGAGATGGTAATGTCATCGCGGCCTATCCTCCTGTCGGGGATCCTCGTTGAGGCGCCGTGGTCCGACGCGCTGTGATGACTCCTGTTGGAAATGGATGTGCGACGACGCGGGTCCGGCGATAACCTGGTCTCTTGCATGACAAAGTCTGCTGACATCTTCTCGACGAGAGAAGGAGGAGGGAGGTGAGGTGCTTGAGAGGGGAGAGCGGGCAGAGGAGGCAGGGGAGGCGAAGTCTCGTCCGAATGGTCGGGCAGAGTATGTTGGACCTCAAACGACTTGGATTTGGCGATTCGGACGGTCGAGTGAGACTGGCTGATGCGATCGAGAGCAGCGGCGAGGCCAGCATAGCCGTTCCCAACAGCCTCGTCCGTCTTGGAGTTTCCGAGAGACCACTGGAAGACGAGCGCGCTCATCCTCAGCGCGTCCCTGGCCTTGCGTATCGACTCCCTCATCCTGAAGATCTCCTTGTCGGCAAACATCATGCGCCAGCCGCGCTGGATCCTGCCCATGGCACCCTTCTTCTCGTACTCGAGGAACTCAAACATCATGTGGTCGAGAACCTGGAAGTCGCTGTTGGTCTGGCGGAACTTGGTGTCGAGCTCCTTGATCATATCGGCGGGGAACTCCTGGTGAACCCGGGATGCCTCCGAGAGGCCGGCCTCGATGGACCATAGTATGCGGCAGATGTCGAGGAAGTCATTGGCGAGGTCGCGGAAGCCGTGGGGTTGATGCTTGACGTTGGTGAGAAACTCGAGCATGCGGACCGAGATGTTGTTGCCAAGCAGGGTCGCGCGCGTGCAGAGGTCCAGGACGGACTCCTTGGGCTTCGGTTTCCCATACATCGCGGCGGTCATGGTACCTCTTCTAGTAGGATGAGCCGCCCTCGGCTGAACAGACATTAAGGGGTGTCTTCAGACGCAAGAGGGGAGAGAATGTAAGCTGTAAGGGGCGGGCCGTTCTATGGTCAGCTGGGTAGACGGGATAGTCAAAGGAGCTAGATGTCTACAGAAACGCCAAACGGCGGAAGTAAGCTGACAGAGGTGAAAGGCAGGTGAATGAATGCAACAAAAACCAGATCTCTCGGATCAAGAGGCAGCGTGGGAATCGGGGGCTGTTTATCTGTTCTCGTTGCACCCGTGGTTCTCGCAGCTGGATCGACCCCCCCAGCTGGGCAACGCAAAGGCAGAGACAGAGACCCTCCTTCGCAGGGAGCTCTCGGACAGGTCGAGGTCTAGTCGGCGGCCGTCGATAGAGACAAGACTCAAGCGGCAAGCCACCGCCCACGCCAAATGGGGCTCATTGGGAAGAGCAGGCATTGTCCCGGCTCGAGGACCTGAATCGCGATTGCACCTAAGAGGGACAAACACAGGCGTCTGTTGGCCTACATTGGATGGGATGGCAAAGCCGTAGTGCCAGGTACAAGGGAGGTTCCAAGGACTAAGCCAACGCTAGACATGTTAACCCCAGAGACGACCTGCGCTAGGGTGGCCGCTTTGACACAAAGGACCGGAAATTCAGACAGCAAGCCAGCCAGCCTGACTAGGTCCAGACGAGACAAGAGGCAGAGGCGGCTGCGCAAAGACAGGTAGACTGACATATGCCACCACTAGTTGGCACTGGGGCCCAGCGTTTGGGCCCTTGGATTTGGGGGTAACGGGACATGGTTGGATGGCTCGAACTATCCAGGGGAAAACGGAGGACTTTCTCTGCTTGGGAAGTTTGACACGGGAACCAGACGGGAGAAAGAGAGGGAGGGAGAGATGGGAGGAGGGGGAAGCAGCCTCCCAAGTATGACAAACTCGTTCCGAAGAAAAGCAGAGAGCGTTCTGTGGCCCCAATGGCTGCAGCGTTTGTTACTTGTCCATGTCTCATTAGCGCTGGTGGCGGGGAGAGCTGAGAACGGTCTCGGCCACGTGAGGGAGAGTCTTGGCTCAGATTCCGGGTTGCTCATGTCTCTCTGCCCCCGCGGCTGGCTGTCTGCGCTCCGTTCTCAGCCCCATCTTGCGGGTTCGAATGTTCTCCTGAAGGCTCCATTGGACCCAGTCACACGCGGCAGCGAGACCTGACAGCCGATTCTGCTTGCTTACTCTTGCTTGTCATTTTTTCTTTCTTTTTTGCTGTTCCTCGCTTGAGTCGCTTCGGATGTCTCGCATTCTGAGAAGTGACCGATCTGAGTTTGCACATCTTTCCGGGGCAGGATTGCGGGCCACCGTCGGCGGATGCCGATCAGGCCGCCCCTCCATCGGCCAGTGTCCTTTGTGCTGTTGAACTGAGGAGTAGGGGGGCGAGGGGCGCATCGATAGAGACAGTCTTCGGCAGTGAGAGTTGGCGACGTCATGTAATCGCCGTCCCAAAGGCTGATGTTCGGCAGCAGCACCGAAAGAGGCAGAGCCAAGACAACTGACAGCAATAATTTTGCTTCTCATCCACGGGAGATCTCGTTGTGGTTGACTGCAACGCTAGACGGGCACTGACATGAATCAGAGAACGGCGAGCTCTGTGCGCGCGGCCGTCCTGCGCATCAGGCTGCAGGGGGGTCTGTTCGTTTTCTCGGTACATGGATTCTGGTGTCATCTGGTGTCATCTGGGCCCTCAAGGCTGGTAATATCAGATCAGTTTCCTAGTCAGTCACGGTAGTCTAGACCAACTAGAGCGCGGGTCGTTGGAGATTTTTGCACCAGCAGATAGAAAAAAAAATTCCTGCGACGAATAGCGGGACCGAACGTTCGTGATGGCATATCTGGGCGTGTGGGCAGGCAGCTAGCAGCTTTTCAGATTTCTTAGCTGCATGTGTTAGCTATCAAATCACTCGTGTCACCCTTGTTAGCTCAGCTCCGCGATCACACAGCGTTGCCCGTCATCCATGCATTGGCGCGATAGTCTTGCAGAGACGAGCTTCAGCTGACGTTGACGATGTTGGCCGTACCTGGGTGTCCGTCAGGGGGCCAGGCAGGCATTCGACGCCGTGGCAGAATTTTAGCTGCTTTCCATCGCGTCTCCGACCCTGGACGGCGGGGAATAGCTACGACATGCCCCGTTCCAATAGGCGCGGGGGAGGAATTGGCAAAGGGTCGTGGAGGGGGATGTGGTTAACCGTGCGTCTTGATCGACGCGAATGCTACCGCAGTAGTAATCAGTGGCCCACAACTTGTTTTCCCTTGACGGGAGTTCTTTCGAACATCTCTGTCTTATCCGTGCCTGTACCTGTATCTATCTGTGTGATATGTGTGTCTGTGTCCCCTCAAGGATGTGATGACTGCGTGGATGGCAGTGGTTCACGACGAGCGGGCGGGCGGGCGAGCGGGCTTCCAACGGGAGAACGGGAGAGTGGAGGGGAGCTTGGCCGGTCCATCCAAGACATCGATGTTCCCTGCGGCGCTCTGCGTGTCGTCAGGATTTCACATTCGCGATGCCAAATTCTGCTAGAGAATGGGCAATCCGGCCCCACCATTATGTGAGTTTGTATGTGCTCGGTTAGAGCCCAGGTCTCGCGTTGCGTGCTCATTTCAGTTCATGGTTGGCTGGCCCAGGAAGGCCAAAATGCTAACAACGCCAGAGTTCATCTGGAAAAGGCTCCTGATGGAGCTGTTCGTGCTGTTGGTTGGTCTGGTGCTTGGAGCTGCTGGTGGCCGTAGCGGCCGTAGATTGTTGCACCCCTGGCGCCGCAGCATTTGCAATTCCCACCAACACACTCGAAGGAAGGGGACAGACCGGGCTGGATGAGCCGCCGCGGGGTCTCGGCGGACGATGAAAACCAGATGGTGGAGGGGAAGATGGGGGGGCAAGATTGGTACCGTACCGCTGGGTGGTGGGTGAGGGAGAGAGGAGGTGGTGAATGGCAGCCAAACAGTACAGTTGAATGACATACAAATTTCCAGAGAGACAAGCAAGCAACAAGCACAGTCGCAAAGCCACGAAAAGCCTCAAGTCCAGCACAGATAGGGTCGTGGAGGTCTCCCCGAACGCCTCCTGTGTCCTATCGGAGCCTCGGGGTACCACACCAACGGATCCCGCGCCAACGCTATGCCATCCCAAATACTCTGTACTTTGCCCGTCTGCCCGTGCCCCATCTCGTCCGGTCTGGCTTCAGTTGTCTCTTTATCTCCGTAGCCTCTCAGGAGTTGGGACGGGCCAACTGCCACTTCGCCTGAGCAAATAGCGCCGATATTAGACTTCGGCCCGGCCGGGTCCACGCGTCTAAACCATCTTTTCTTCGTACGAATGCCTCGGTATCCAGGTCCAGCCAGTAACAGTAACCCGATTGGATGATTCAGTACGAAGCGCGGTACGAAGTGGCTGAGAGCGGCAGCAGCTAGAGACAGAGAGAAGGCTGCCGGGGGCGTGCAGCCTGCATGCTTCCGGCGCTGTCTAATGCATATCGCATGCAGCTGTTTGCCTTTACGTGCGGGCTACTTTCTCTCGGTCTGGCCAGTCGGATTCTGGAAACCCCCAGATGCAGAGGCTTTTTGGCGTTTGCTCTAATCACCACTGCCGAGTTATCGTTCGCCATCCGGCACTGCTGCCCCCGTTCCCATGGAATTTTGTATGCTAGGTCCGGTCTCTCGCATCCAGCTGAGAAATCCAATTTCATTTTCCCTACAAACCCTGCTCCGCTATCGATTAGCCACGTGGAAAATGGCCCCTGCCCCTATTCTTTCCTCCTCTCCCCCAGCGTCTTCGGCTTTTTTTTTTTTGCCTCTTCGTCTAACTGCTTTCTTCACTGAAGCCGTCGAGCCCAATCTCACCAGTTGCGCCTCTGCGTGGCTCATCCCCGTAGGCATTCCCGTCTTCCCATCGTCTCGGGCGATGCGCTTTGAACATTTGGATCTCGTGCGTCCCGGCAATTTGAATTCGCCAACTGTCTGGTCCCCGCCTTGGCGGAATTATCTCCAGCGGAGCAGAGCCGTCCCGTGCCATTGTCCTTCGTTGGTATCCATCCCCAAAGGATCAGTCAACGATTGCCTTTGTTCCAACTCCTCCGTCTTGCGCCCGTCTCCCGTTCTGCCCGTACCGCGCCCAGAAACAGCGGTTCCCAGCGGGTGATCGATCTTGAAGGATCCACTGATCGGCATCATATAAAGGAGTGAGACAGACGCCTCGGACGGAGAGAACGCCTCGCCATAGCTATCACAAAACCACAGAACCCTTTAACACATTGACCTTTTCCCGCCAATTGATCCCTGGGGGGTCCGCTGTTCTGGAGGCGCTTATCTTCCGCCGCGTTCGATGCCTCATGTTCCCTCCCCGCACCGCCCGCCCTCACCAACGTCGCAACGCCGGCGTATCACACGGAACGTGTGAGATGAACTACTCACGTTACAAGACGTTTGGGAGAGGTACACGGTCGGTACACTTAATAAGGAATCACTGTGATACAGCAGCACACGAACTGAAGGATTGAATACGGATGCAACTCAAGCAACACCGCAGCGACCTACCCCTGACAAGACATTGGAGAAGTATTCCAGAAATAACATTATGCTACAAAGTAAAGTTTTCTTGTTGCATGGGGTATTCCAACCCCTCATCTCATTGGAGTAGTTGACCCGTCGGCAGAATGTAAAGCTGCTGACAAGGTGACTCCATCATCATCGTGTCACTGAGACTGGTATCACCGCACTCGACGCCTTGCGCGCGCACACACATACACACTCATATCCTTACACCCCAAGAATTACATCCGCCGCCTTCTCGCTCACCATGTACACCGGGATCGCAATGTAGAAACCAGGGATCTTGGGGAACACGGACGCGTCCACCACCCTCAACCCGTCCACGCCCCTCACCTTGAACTTGGAGTCCAGCACCGCCATGGAGTCGTCGTCGGTCCCAATCGGACAGGTGCAGCTGGCGTGGTGTCCCCAGGCCTCGTTCCTGATGAACTCAGGCAGGTCCGCGTCCGTGACGTTGGGCCCAGGCCAGACCTCGGTGAAACCCCCGGTCAATGGCACCACGCTTTCGAACATCTTGCGGGAAAGCTTCATGCCCTCCACGACGGCCTGGATGTCTTTGGCGCCGTCCGCGTCGTTCTGGAAGGAGTTGAAGTCGATCTGCGGCATGTCTCTGGGGTTCGCCGAACGCAGCTTCACGGTGCCCGCGCGGTTGCGGCTGTGTGCCTTGAGCGTGATCCACGACCAGTGGCGCGCGTCCTTGGTGCCGTCCGCGGAGTACCCGGGATAGTACCCAGGGAAGGCCACAGGCGCGCCGGCGATAAAGAGGTCGGGGTCCCCCTCCGCAACGGTGGACTTCTTGACGACGCCCAGGGAGATACCGTTGGACCCGTAGATGCCCGGCGAGCTGCCGCTAGCGGTGCCCTCCTCCCACTTCTTCAGGCAGGGATCGTTGGCGGTGCCGTCGCGGATGAAGGTGCAGTCCTCGATGATCTGGAAGTCGGTGGGCGTCTCGCCTATGACGGTGGTCTCGTAGCGGTCCTGCAGGTTGGTGCCGACGCCAGGCAGATCGACGACGACGGGGATGTCGAAAGAGGCAAGCTCGTCCTTGGGGCCGACGCCGCTGAGCTTGAGCAGCTGCGGGGTGTTGAAGGCGCCGGCGGCGACGATGACCTCGGCGGTGGCGTTGACGGATCCGGCGGTGCCCTCGTCGCTTCCGGCTCGCGGGTCTGCACGGTACAGGTTCTGGCCCGTGACGAAGTCGACGCCCACGGCCCGCGGCTTCGTTCCGCTCTGGTCGAAACGCACCTTGGTCACGAGGGTGTTGAGCTTCAGGTCGAGGTGGTACTTTCGTGTACCGTCTGTGTTCTTTGCGTTGGCGGTGTCGAGGACGAACTCGCGGGGCCCGACTCGCCTGCCGCTGTCGACAGAGATGGGGACCTGGTAGAGGCCCTCGGCGGCGTCGCGACCGGACGAGTCGACGTTGAGATCGCGGAGGAGGACCTCGCCGAGACCCTGGATGGTGGAGAAGATGAGGCCGATCAGGCTCTTGCCCATGGCAGAGGCGGCGGACAGGATAACGGTAAGAAGCTTAATGTCCTTGATGACAAGTCCCAAGTCCGTCACGCTGGTCGTAAGCCAGCCGCTGAAACCGTGGCCGACGATGCCGTTAGGCAAATACTCGGCATTCTCGAGGCGCTTGAAGTACTGTCGCATGTTCGAGGCACTCCATGAGCTGTCGCCAGTCAGGCTCGCGATGCCGTCCCAGTCAGACTTGTGCGGGTACACAGAAATCAAAGCATTGTGAGATCCGCAGCCCCCCAGCGTGCCGGCCCGAGGGTAGAGAATACCGAGGGGCTCGGCGCCGGCTGGCGGGCTGAGGCCGACGTAGAGCTCTCCGGACGACGTGCGATACGTCATCTTGGAGTCCTTTTTCTGGGCCTCGAGGTCGCTGAAGTGGTTGACATAGTAGTCCCATCGCATCGGATCGTACTCCGTCGACTGGAGGTTAAGCGCGGGCACCTTGTAAGGGATGGAGTCGCCCTGGTCGTCGCCGGCGTCAATCAGCAACACCTTCTTCCCGGCAATCGCAAGCCGGGCGGCGAGCGGCCCACCACCCGGGCCGGACCCGACAATCACGTAGTCGTACGAGGTATCCGTAGACTGACGCGCGTAAAGCTGCTGGCTCGGACTGGCGATGAAAGAAACACTCGTTAGCACAATGCCGTGCGTTGCAGATTAAGTAGTCTAAAACTCACACAGCAGAAGCTGTGGCCACGATGTAGCCAAGCAGCGCGTTCGTGACATGGTGACCCCAACGCATCTTGCCTGGAAGCTTTGAGCCGGTCTCTGAGAGGGTCGCAGTACCAAGCAACTCAAAAGAAGACCATTCTCAAAAGCTTGCGAATGTCGGCAACTCGTTTTCTTTATTAACATGCTCCATGAAGAACCCCTCTTCAGCTGGAAAGCTGCGAATGTGCTCAATTACCACAAAAGCAACATGAGACCCGTGACTCTCCCTTGACTTTGATTAAACTTGCCGCCCCTCGTCGCTTCTTCCCCATCTCCGATGCGACCTGCTTCTTTGCAATATGCATATGTCTTGCTTGTCCAAATTGGCCATCGCTATGTATGGTAGCATGGACACCACTTCACGATGAACTCAGCCTACCGCCGTCGGCCGAGGGAACGATTGGGGAAGGACGCGGAGCGCGTAACGGGGATGGCGATGCTCAAATTTGTGGGAACACGAGCGGGAGGCCGATTTGGCATTCAGATTGTTCAGGGGAGCGTTGCGAAAGAACGCCGCGGTCCGGTAGACGCGATCTTGGCATTACTCTCTTGCGGGACCTCTTCATATGGAGTTGCCCTAACTCCCTGAATCATGGTTGGAATTGGGAAGGTTGGCCGATGCATCTCGGACCGCCGAGCTCGACGGCGAGCGGCTTCCCATGTTGTGCGGGGGATAGCTCAGCCTTGGAGGGAGACATCGGGCGCTGGACTGCAGATGCGAACACAAAGGGGCAGACAACCGAGAGTGGCTTTTCATGCGTTGCAGTCCAAGCTCCCTATCGAACCTACGAACTGCCCATCATAGCTCCCACTCTATCTATGTTTGAAGGATGTTATGGACAATGTCGAACAGGTTTGGCAAAAGCCCATCTCCATCGAAGAAAAAGGGGGCAGGCATTGTTTGGCACAAGAGGCCAGGAACACAACGCGCGACTCATGACCCCTGGGCTGATCTTCTGTTTGTCACACTCAGCTGCCCACCCAGCTGACTGAGAATTCTGAGAATTCGCGCCCCTTGCATTTCCCCCCCAAAGACCTGTCATCCCCCCTGTCACTGGATCTGGTTAGCACCTTTCGTGCTGCCAAAGAAAAGCTGAAAGCCCGCTGAGTTCGTCCCATTCCCGTTGCGGCACCACGTGTGGCTCACGACAGCAACGATGGCAACGATGCAATTGTTGCACACAGGCTAGACGCCTCGAGAGCCAACACAGCCCTTCTTAGCCTGTGCTTAAGCCTTATCATCGAGAATATTGTATGCTTCGCTGCGCACTTTCTTCAATGTCCGTTGCAGATGCTTCTTTAATCAGCGGAGCCTGGGTCGGACGATAGACAAGCTCATTGGTTTCCAAACGAAGGGCCTCTAGCAGCGATTCTAGTCACGATCCCTCGCACGGTAACGATAGACGAAGCCTCTTTTACCACATGGTAATGAAACATGTCAGCCACGGCGCCCTCTCCAATGAAGAATGAATGGGAGCGTCGTTTGTTCTGTCCGTCTGGTACCAAGAACCTGGTGGCCGAACTGTTCAATCCGTATAGCCGTTCTAGAGTCGGTTTCTCCCGCATTGTCCGCTTTCGTCCACGCAATACGCAACACTCGGCCTATCGCGCTGAGTGGCACTTTCGCGTCGAACTCTGATCCGTCGAGGTTTTTATGTAGCGGTTCCTGCTGTGTCCGGGGCCATGTCGTTTCTTGAAGCTTTTCTCTTTCCTTTTTTTCTTTTGTTTCGCTATTTGAAATATCACCCTCGCCTTCCACGCCTTGCTGTTGCGGCCGACAGGTTTGAGTCTGTCGGTGTGTAAAGGTGCCCAAGATGCATTTGGTGCGGGTCGCTGCGGGCGTCCTGCTGCTGGCGGCACACGCCGCCGGCCAGTCCACACCAAAGTTGAATTCCACGGCGATCACCACCTTCCTCGCTGGGACCCCAGCCTGCGCTGTAAGTATCTGTCTCTCTTGAGTCGATGATTTCATGATTTTCAAATATCGCCGAAAGGGGATCTTCACCCAACAGCCACGTCTTGGCATGAACTCAGGCTCACCCAAAACAGATGCCATGCTTCGCCGAGGGGTTCCAAGCAGGGAACTGCACGATGGCCGGTCTCACAGACTGTGTCTGCACAAACATTCCCCTGCAAGCCGGGGTGTCTGCATGTGTGCAGACGTCTTGCATCTTCGACCAACAAGTCGGTTCGTGTTATCCCGTATGATCCCATGAGTGAAGGCCCTTGACTAATATTCGCGTAGCCACCGCTGAAATATCACAACAACTATGCCGTGGGTACCCAATACCAGAACGCCGACGATTTTCAAAAGTCTTCTCCATTGTGCTACCTGCCATAAGCACCGCAACGGTGGCTCTTCGATGTGTCGCGAGATGGACGGTCACGAACCAGCTCTGGTGGGATGACTGGACGGCCTTGATGGGCTTGGTGCGTTGCGAATCCTAGTCTCCTATCGAGACTCGTTGCTGACTTAGGCGCAGTTCTTTCTCATAGTGTCAGCAGTACTCGGCTACTATAGTGGGCATTCACATACTACCCCAGATGAGACTCGATGCTAATCAATCTAGACGCTGGCCTTGGCTTCGGTATTCACTATTGGGATGTTGAGCCAGGGAAAGGGAAGACCATCTTGCAAGTGAGTTGCGGTCGTCAGCGGTTGCCCTCATCCCTCTTACTCACGTTCGGTGACAGATATTCTACGTTCTGCAAATGCTCTACATATTCGTACTGTGAGTCCATTTGAAATCAGCGATTGAAACCAACCTCCTAATAACAATGATTCAGCATCTCCGCCAAGGCATCGATATGCTGTTTTTACTCTCGAGTTTTCACCAATAACAAGCGCTTTCGACGGTACACAACAGGTTTCATGATATTCCTCTTAACACACGGCCTCATGTTCCTCTTCCTCGTTATGTTCCAATGTCTCCCCATCGAATCAATATGGGACCGACGAATCGAAGGTCGCTGTCTCAATTACGCAGCCCTTGGCTATGGAGGAGCCGCCGTCAGCATCTTCGAAGACCTAATCCTCTTCATCATGCCCATCCCCGAGCTCATGAAGCTGCAGCTGTGCAGGAAGAAGAAGCTCGCTCTTGTGTTCATGTTTGGCGTGGCGTCTTTGTGAGTAAACTTTAGCTGTTGAGCGAAAGTCCCAGCTAACCACCATGCAGTGCATGCATCGCCAGCATGATCCGCCTGAAATACATGGTTTCATATGCCAACACCTACGACGCGACGTGTAAGTATCGGACGGACCACATTGATCCCCCGCATGCTAATCCAGCCCAACTAGGGGACAACGTTGACATTGTTCTCTGGTCTTCCATTGAACTCAACGCGGCAATCATCTGCGGCAGTCTTCCCGCATTACGCCCTCTCTTCAAGAAGATTCCGGGCATTCTCAGCACCGTCAAAACGACCGTGCGAAGCGGATATCACAAGAAGTCGCGGGACCCATCTGGAACAGCCAAGTCCAATGCCTCGCATCAGTCCATTGCACTATCTTCCGAGGCCTCGCCACGCAAGCCGATCCAACCCAGGAAATTTGGGAGTAGTTCAACTGCAAAGGATACACACGTAACGACAGATACTAGGATTGACACCACAAGTACGGATGGTTCGGAGAGACAAGAGTGGATGGATAAGTCGACGATGTGTTAGATACCCATTGATTAATGCTTTGATGTCCATTTACAATATACTGGTTCAGTCTGCGACCCCGAGCTCCACGGAAAGGAAAGGCCACTGAAAATACGTAGTACCTAGGCATAAGACTTTTGTTTTCAGGGCAGACTATTACTTATAGCTCTTACTTATGTGGTAGTTGTACAACTATTCTTCTTGTTGTCTTCGTCGTGGTTATCATCGGCGTCGCTACTACAACTATAATTCCTTTTACTACCGTAGTTCGTGGGACTAATTCAGGAAATTGGCCACGTAAACACAGGGAAAACAAGTGGTCTCTCAACGTGATAGCTGACTTTGATTTCGGTCTTGTTTGAGAATAGGGACAACCATATTGGGTGCACGGTTAGGTTCTCACAAATCAAGACCAGTGCAATAAAAGCGGCGGGTGTTCGCTGTACGTTGACTACGACCTAAGATATCATAATGATGCCCATATTGTCTATCCAGAAGCACCAGAAGAGCAAGTTACACCGCTGATTCCACTGGAATTAGCACAAGCGACAGTAGCGCTGCCGCTGGCTGGCTTCACTTTCCAGTTGCTGAACGCAATCTTGCAAGATCCCTTGGCCGGACAGTCGATGTTTGCTGTGACCCCCTTGTACTTCGTTGATGTTGTCCCGGAGAAATTGTTCACAAAGATGTCGGTGATTTGGGCAGTCGGGGGGTTCGACTTGCAAAAGTCCGCGGTCTCGCCGTAGCAGGTCTGAAGCTGAAAAGCATAGTCGCTGTTGTCGACAACAACCCCGTCCCAGGTGATGTTGCTGACAGTCGCGATCCCGTGCGTGCTTCCACCGGGGTAGACTTTGATCCCAGCAGCCTTGGTGGAGGCCTTCATCACGGCGTTGCCGACGAAGACGTTCTTGACGAAGTCTGTGCTGCCTGCCGTCTTGCCCAGGCTTCCAATGCTCAGACCGTGACTGCCGGAACAGGTGATGTCTCTAATATCGACACCGTCAGCTCCAGACTTGAGCGCGACGCAGTCGTCGTCATTGACGACCGTGATGTTCTGCAGGTTGACGTTCGTGGCGGGGCCGATGTCGAATCCATCGGTGTTCTTTGGCAGGTTGGTGGACGTCGACACCGCGGACAGGGAGATGTCGCGGAAGTTGACGTTAGTTGAACCACCGGCCGCTGAGAGACCGAATGAGGGAGGGTTCTTGACGGCAATGCCTGAAACTTGGATGTTCGATGACCCGGTGATGTAGAGCAGGGTCGGCCTGTCGTATGTGCTGTCCGAGGCAAACTTGTCCCACGAGCCTTGGCCGTTGCCATCGATTGTCCCGGATCCAGTAAGACTGCGAATCTTGGCACCTGTGATTTTCTTGACGTTGATGATGGACTGTTTGCCGTTCCAGTAGGTGAAGTCCTCAGAGACCTTCAGGGTGCCCTCGAGCTGGAAGTCGCAGTTGCTGCATCCGGCGAAGTCGAGAGTTGAGCCGATCGTGTAGGTCGTACCTTTCGGGATCAAGATGATGCCACCGTTCCCGCACTTCTGGATGGCGGCGACGATGGATGGTACGTCATCTTTCGAGGAGGAGCCGGAAGTAGTGGGCTTGGTAGACGATGATTGTTAGCCCACGTTGGTCTTGACGATGGCGTATTCACAGTTCAAACTTCAACCGGAACGTCGTGCTTACTGTGCATGATGCTCTCTGGACTATGGCGCCTCCGTTTCGTTCGCGCAGTGACGAAGATGCCTCGAGCGCGGCAGCGCTGGCTGCGTAAGCAACGGCAGTTTTCAAAAGACACACCATGGCTGGGGAAGTCGGCTGCGGATGGCACTCGTATTTTCGCTTACAGTCATTGATGGCAAAGACCTGGGCTTTAGTAGACTCGGCTTCCTCTCGAACGGACGGCTAAGGATGCCGACGGTAGATGGATACACCGCCGGATGCTCTACATCGGAGCTAGATGGTGCATTCCGGGGTATAAACAAGAAACAAAGATATCCCATCAACAGGAACAATGTGCTAGTTTGGTACGAGCTGGAGACTGAAAAGAGAAGTTGGACCCTGTTCTGGGCGGATCCCTGTAGCACTGTCACTTGACAGGAAGCGATCCCCAAAGTTCCTCCAATCATAGGGGCCCTGACCGTCCATTGGGGAAACGTGTGCCGCCAGGAGTGTGGTGTGTTAATTACCTTTAGTGGATGGAAGCCCCTGAACAATATCCCTTCGGGCCGGGCGGCGGTTGAGTTAAGCTTTACACACCCTGTGTCTTAAGTGTGGTGATGGCCGATGAAGCCAGATTGAGCCGTCGCCAAGCTTTTGACAGTTCATGGAATGATTTTCTCCTTCATCCATGGCTGCGAAAAGATGAAACATTGCACTGTATAATTCCAAGGTGAATGCCAACAGTCCGTCCCCGCCATGAGCCGCAAGCGCTTCCGAGTGAGTGAAAGACGCATTGAAAAAACGTACACTTGCAAGATCGCTGCTACACATCTACTGATCAAACGTCTTTCCCGACTTCTCTCACACTGAGAATGCCTATGATGGATGCGCAAATGAGCCGAGAGTCCAACAATTAGGCTTTTGGCAAAAGAACTTCACATCACGCTACGAAAATGGCGCTGGGTCAAATCGGCGTGGATCATGATGATTTTCTGTAGAAACCGACGGGTCCGACCGGATCTGGAGACATCTCCGCCTGCATCTTTGGGCTCTTCACACGTGACAGTCTTCTCAAGTTTACTCTTAGGCTTACTTCTATCAACGTCAGCCTACCGCCATGCATGACCTAATCAACAGGTTCAGCAGTGTGCATCCTTCTCGGCCCATCTGAGATGTGGCTTAGTCGGCCCTCGGCACCTCATGATGAGTCGACGCCGCATGCTTATGAGAGCAAGACAATTGAACGTACGGCTCACACTCGGCAATCGGGCCATGTGCATGCGACCTCTGTCGATCCGTAAACCTGTCGCGTATGAGGCATCAGGCATTCATGATGATTTCTGCTGCTGATTGCTCACGGCGGACTGTTGGTTGGCGCTAACCACCACATCTGCTGTCCGGTGTGGCAAAGCCCTTCGAGCGACCAATGGCCAGGTGAAGAGAAAGGACCCTGCAGAGCCGAGAAACGGTGGACATTGTTCAAATCGGCGAATAAGATGGATGAAGTAGGAGTTTTTCGGATGATATACCGCTTTTCCTCATTTGGCACTTGGCATTCAAGCCACCAAGATGAGCGAGACACATCCGGATATTGAGCTTTACCCTTCACGCCCCGTAGATGCAAGTCCCGTAAGACCGGCTCACCGTATGAATGGCCACATCCCTGATGTCCCTCTTCAACGTGTTAGTTATCTCGATTGAAGGCGCGGCGTGGCGTTCGGAACTGGAAGATGCACGTGTCTCTGAAAATTCGGCTCGAAAATACGGCTGCCTGGTTTGTAAACTCTGGGCAACATCTTGTCGTTTGAAGTTTGTCGATCCGTGTGGCACTATGAGCATCATCACAATGGATTAAGACTTAGCCCCGAAAGGATATACACTGGACTATGTTGAAAAAATGTGATTAAATACGAAGGTCTACCGTAGCATTGGCTACTCATGCGCCATGAACGTGTGCGCCCGAATGGAACGTAGGGTTCAGACATCATTGCCTCTCCGAAACCTCTTACAAGTCATAATATCGAGCAAGTTTTAACGCATATATGGCAACTCTAAGAGTCGTCATAGCAGCCGTTCTGGCGCTCCAAAATGATCCACCAGACTCTCAGTCCAACGAAAACCAAAGATGTCCATGTACGACAAACGTCTCTCATTTCGACGTGAGAGTGGTCCGAAGTCATCATCCTGAACAGAAAGATTCTGATCCGATAGAAATCAAAGGGTGTGAAAAGCTTTCCGAGTGCTCCAAGCACATAGCAAAGCCACGAGTCGCGAGATGATAGATGCCCTGTTCACTGCCGGGTTCACGACATGGGTTACGCCTTCATGGGTGAAATCCATTATTACCAGCTGACGTCTGGTCTGTTCAATGGAGTCAAGTCATGAGCATGATAAAGAAAGGTAAAGAACGTTCTCATTCCATCAGTGCATGGCTGAAAATGTTTTAAGTTGACTAAGCAATCTAGCTCTACTAAACGATATGAGAGAAGTTATGTTACCAAGCGGGGCATTCAAGTCAAATAGATGCTCGATCTCATGAATCAGTGTGGTTTGTTCTCAATTTGTGATGATTTCTATCATGTGCGCTGACTAGAAGCCTCGGACAGGCCATCGTATACTTCATCGTCCTCCTTCCGCTATATAACATACTACTACACCCTCTCCGGAAGTAGTGGATTCGCTCGGGTCGTCATTCAGAGGCGGAGACTATCAACAGTCCATCGGATTTGCCAACGCCCTTAGCCAGGCCATCATCCGTGATGATGAGTCAGCTTTCGGAAAGGCCGCCTCGATTATATGCACTTCGCAATCTTGATCACGATTTCTGGTGGGAGATTCGGCAGGTTCGCCATGATACCTTCAAGGAGCAACAGTTGCTGAGATGCGGGCGCCGAGGGCGACGAGGATCTGCACGACTTGGCGGCCGCAGTTGTTGTTACAGACGCAGACAAACCAAATAACTCGGATCGAACGAACCACCAATACGAAAATCGAAGGTTTCGAGGCTCCGTAGGCGGATATTTCAAAGGCCACATTTGGGCTTCTGGAAGCTGTGAGGAATCAGGGAGCACCTGGCATCTTGGCGAGTAATCTGGCCGCGGCGTGGAGGGTCCAACCCTATATGCTCTTACTCAAATCCATCCGAGAACATATGAATTGGTATCTGAAACATAATAAAAGCATTCAATAACATATTGTTCCTCGTCGTAATCACCTCAAACCACAATCTCCCACATGTTGAGAATGCCAGAGTCAGCCCGCCCATGATGCCCATTCGTGCATCTGCCGAACACCAAGTATTTACTATCATTTGAGAAAGCTGCCGAGGTCACAAACCCAGTCTCGAGCCTTGCTGAGTAC